CCAAGTTTTGGCCTTGTGAGCAAAAAGAACTAAAAGATTGATCCATGCAGAGGTGATGTAAATTAATGAAAAGTTTTAGTCTGGGCAAAGCTGAGGCTTGTAATGTAATGTAGTAGAGATAAGCAATTTTTATTCTCATGTCCTGTGAACTTACAGGGAGCACAAAGCCTGCAGTATGGATGTGTATACAACTACAGCATGTTTCATAGTCAAGGCTCTTGTATCAAAATATACTTATTGTAAAACATAAACTAAGTGTTACTATCAGCAGCATCGCAATGCTTTACAGAAAGTAATTGGGATTTTTACGGTGACTTCATGTAATGTGTTTGCACAAAATTCTCTCGTTCTGTTACAATAAGTCCACAACAAACTGGCACAAACATTGAATGGAAACAAAGAGGAAACTCAAGGATACGCAAAGGAATTGATATAAAGCAGCCTGCTGAACTTCATGTTAGATTCAGATCAGAACTTTGAAAGGTATTTTGCACGTAACGTAGACTGTGGATTGTCATCTCTGTTATATTTCATGGTTTCTACCTGTAGTCAGTATAAACAGGGGGAATGAATACTGAATACTGAAACGGACATTTTGTCTATACCTGTGCACCCTCCTTTCATCACTCCACAATGCTGTTCCTTCTTCGTCAGTGATGCTGTTAACTATTAGTTCCTCCTACACCTCTTTCTCTGCTCTCCTGCCTCCTCACCTCAGCTCGAAGTTCAGCTAGTTTCTTGTCCATACTAGTTCGAGCTCCCAGTTCATCCTCCAAATCTTCAGAAATGCGGCCGAGTTCATCCTGGTGCATCTCTTTCAGCAGGTTCAGCTAAATGGTGTCAGAGAGAGGGGGAGACAAAACGTGAAAGGCCTGGGTTTTCTCAATGTCTTTTATGTTTAGTGTTTCTGATTTTAAAAAAAAGGATACAGGAAAAAAATAACATTTACTAAGAAATAAGTTATACTTTAATGGGTGCAATAAACATACAAAATTTGATCACTTGATGTCCTAACAACAGCTACACTTTAAAGAGCTTGACATTTGGTGTTATCGATCACTTTGAAGGACAAAAAAGCCATTTCTGGATCAAACACCTCCTGTGATCTCGAGGCATCTGAAACAACAAGCATGTAGGTAAGAGTGACCCAATCTCCTTCACCATACCTCTTAATCCCTCCTCATTCTTATCTGATCATTGCATTTCTACCTGTGTCTCATCTGCCTCCTCTCAATCTTCAGCACTTCACAGTATCCTGCTTTCATCTAAATCCCTTCTTTCCTGCTTATCTTTAAAACATCCACCATCACCATCTACAAATTTCTCATATCTTCTGACCCACCTACCCCTCCTTTCTTTCCCTTTGCTGGCTTAAGCAGACTGATTTTGTCACCCAGTGAGTTTTTCCATGAGACGTGTGTTTACTGCATGCATCTCTTCCTTAACACTCTCCTCTCTGCAGGCCTGGACTGCCCCCGAGTGGTGTAACACTGTCATTAGCCATGTTTCAGTGCAGCTTTATGGGCTTATGCCTGAGCTCTACTCTTGGGATGCACTGCTTTGTTTGTCTAACACCCCGAAAACGTAGTGGTGCATTGAGATATTAAGAAGATTTATGATGATCTCCTCTTCCTCTCTCCATCTCTAAAAGGCAGATACCAAAGACTACAACAAAAGCAAACAGAAAATGAAAAGACGGGACACATGTTTCATATTTCATATGTCTATGTATGTTATGTCACAGATTTTTATAATAATGTATCACCAGACACAGATGCATTATACTACCCTGCATTCATTGTAATATCTTTCTGCATGCTATTATATTCTGTTGTAGTCCATTATCTCACATGCATTAGACATGTCTGAACTTACCACAAACATCTACAAACATCTTGACTTTGGACATTATTTGTAGACATCCCCAGACTACTTGATATTTTGTGCAGTTCACTAATTAATTGTCTGTTGTTGCTACTGAGCAGGTTATGTACCATGAGAGTGGTGAGACTGAACAGCTAAACGATCAGCTGCAACTCCCCACCTTACCAGTGCTTTCACACTATAGTTTCATATTATGTTACGATAAAATACCAGCTGTAGACAAAGAACAGAGGGCTTTGTTGTTGACAAATGTTTCACTATTGCAATTACTGGTATGTTTTTTTTCATCTTATAAAGTTCATGTGGGCTGGTCAGTTGAATGTCCATGACACATTAAACAACTATTTCATATTTATTCTTTTTTACTTTATGCTTATGCATTATGCCTTAGCCTAAATATATGTTAGCTATACTATGATCTGCACTTCTATGATGCCTTTCTAACTTAGTGGTACTTAAAGCGCTTTACAATGGGTTTCTCATTTAGCCATTCACACACACATTCACACATTGATGGCTGCAGAGCTGCAAGGTGCCTGTCTGCCATCAGGGGCAACTTGGAGTTCAGTGTCTTGCCCAAGGACACTTCGACATGTGGAGGGGCGGGGGAGCAAACCACTAACCTTGCAATCAGTGGACCACCCGCTCTCCCACCTGAGCCACAGCTGCCCACACACACACACACACATATATATACATATATGCTGCACTATTGGTTTTAAACATGTCTTGAATAATGTGTTGCATATTGTATTGATTATATTGCTTTCTAACTCGGTTTGGTTTGTTGTACTTATCCAAATCCAAATGAATGAAATGTATGCTGCAACCACCACTCCTCACACCACCTCTACCTCACTGGAAGATTGAAAGGGTTGAAATTCCTACAGCAAATCCAACACAGTGTATGTCCCTCAACAGCAAACCTGCATACTTTTACACAGACTGTGCTATTAATGATGATCACATTTAGCTGTGGAACATAAGTTGAAACTTTTTGATAATGAGCCATAATCTCTAATACACTCTAAATTTGACTGTATCAAATACTGGTAACTCAATAAAGCAAATAGAAAATCAAATCACTTTAATAACCAGTTGGTTGCACTTAATTTAACTAAAGCTAAAGTAAAAGATGAGAATTTGCAGTTAGGTTTGATTGAAAGTTCTCAGACATCAACCTGCCATCAATCCAACAATGGATTCAGTGATCCTCACAGACCCATGGAAAGCTGGATCATGTCTTTCTGTGCTGTATCATTCTTGAAGCAGAGAAAAGGAGGCTGACAGACAGCCTTCTGGGTTGAATAAGCTGCCTCCCTGCTGCCAGCTACAGTTTTAGGCTGAGACATGCAAGCACTAAAATCTGAAAAAAAAAAAAAGAAAAAAGAATCAAACCAAAGTTCAGCTGCTGATGGATGAAAACCATTTCCGTCCAACATCAAAGGTTTCAGTGCCTTTTTCCACAAATCACAAACAAAAGCACTGAGTGACATAGCATATGGCCAGAGTTGTACTCTGTGTTATATAAACATCTGATTTAGGCTGACTGAGCTCTGTTGCAGATTCTCTGTTCTCTGATTAAGGCTGATTACCGTAAATTCCGGACTACACGCTGCTATTTTTTTCACATGCTTTGAACACTGCGGCTCAAACAATGATGCGGCTAATTTATGGATCACTATGAGTTTTACAAATTTGCCTCGAGACGAAAGTGACATTGAGCGCGACAACGCAAGAGAGACTGAGGAAGTGTGTGACGAAGTAATTCTGAGGCTGTTCGATTCCTACACTGAAGAAGATGACTTTAGTGGTTTTAGTACGCAGGAGGAAGATGAAGATATGACTTTTCCTGGTAGGCTACTGTATTTTTAATTTTCTTAACCAGCTGTGTTACAGGCACTGCTCAGAAAAAAACATTTACGGTACGTATTTGTGTATGTTACTGGTACGTATTTTATTAAAAGTTTAAAAAATCTTTCTGTGTAGCATCTTTCTTTGTAAATATCTCATGTTACAACGTGGACACCTGCGGCTTATAGACAAGTGTGGCCTATATATGTACAAAATGTGTTTTCTTTTTAAGGTTAGTGGGTGCAGCTTATCTTCAGGTGTGCTCAATAGTCCGGAATTTACGGTAGACAGTTCCACATACTTTTAAAAATTTTGCAAACTTTGGGTACCACAAATTAACAAACTGCTTTTGATTCCTCTGAAACTCAACCGCTAACAATGGGAGTAAAGCTACCCAGGGTAATGAAACCTCTGTAATGAAGCTATTGGTCACTACTCACAGGAAATCTACCATGTGACAGTTCTGCTTTACATAATACTGTCAGTGCTCTCTCTTTAGATTTTGAATAAATATCTTCCTGTGAGATACCGGTGTAGCAGATTTGCGCTTTCAAAGAATGTTTATTAAAAATTTGTTTTATTCTGCTCTGGGTATGTTTAATTATTCATTTAAATCATGAATTGTGTTTCTATTGTTTGTGTTTTACAGTGACTGTTCATTGTGTTTGTCTTATGCTGTCCTTTTTTTGGTTTTGTTTGTAGGATTTGTTGTAGTTAGTCCACTCTGCCTTACAGGGCCCGTAGATGAAAAGATCTGGGGGTGCATCGTATGAGACTGGACTAACTCCTTTCATTTTTGTTACTTGTTTTGTTTGTTTTATTCAGCTCTCTGTTTTTGATCCATGGTGGGTAACTATCAGTCTTCAATCGCTGGAAGTACTGAGGCCCGACTTATGTGTGATGCTTAAAATCACGTGTGAAATGATTGTGGTGTCATTTTGATGTGCAGTGGAGTTTCAAGCATGCAGTGATTTTCACCTCTGGCTCACAGGTATCTTTAGGTATTAATAGTATATATGATTAGACCCCTTTTGGAAGAATAAGATGGTGATTTTATGATATGCACTGTGAATAATAAATATGAACATTTTTACGCATTCTTTGCCTGTCCTACGATTTATGCAGTGCTTGGCCTGTGGTGCCTGGTTCTACACACTACTGCTCTTTAGTCTCTGTGTGGCTGTACAGAAGATTCTTGAGGAGATTACAAAATGTTCATAGCATACAAATGTATTTATTTTATATATAAATGTATATGGACAAAGTTTACCCACGTGAGGCCAGTTCATGATTTATTAATTATGACTTACGATTTCAAAATCTATGTGCACAGACTGATGCAGACTTTGAAGTCAGCAGACTTTAAAGAGCAGACATGGTTCGATTCATACTTCAATAGATACGCGTCCGCCTGCAGACAGTTGCATTGCCTCTCATGTTGGAAATAAAAAGGAGAAAGAAAATTACAATAGGCTCCCGTGGATGTTTCTGGAAGGCTGGGACTCTGCCCTTTTTACAGGACATAACAGAAGGTTAATGATTTGTTTGTAGTACGCCTATATGGCCGTGCCCTCCGCATCGATCCCCTCTTCACTCGAAGCCAGCCATGAGTCAAGAACCTTACTGAGCCACATCACGCTGCCCTCCTCCGCCCACTGACTCCCTGATCACTCTTCCTCTTCCCACTGCCAGCTAAGTAGAGTAGCTCGTTCTCGAGCTTGTATTCCTGTTAGTATTAATGATAGAAAATGTGTGTTTGTGTTCTGGGTCTTTTCTGTGTTGCCACGTTGGCGTGTCGTAGTAGCGTGCTTTGTACTTCAGGTTACGCGTTCTTGTGTATACAGTGTGTGGTAGTTTACTCTATCTGTAAATCCCCTACTGTGCCTTGCCCTGAAGTACTCGGTTTTGGTCAATAATCCCCTTCCTCTGATATATTCTGGTGGTACTCAGTACTAGGGCTGGGCCATATCATACCATGCTTTGTAATACCAGTGTAATGTTAGGGGATAATATGAAATTGAAATATCGCAATAAAATTTAAGTGAAACATGCATGTGCAGTGCCGTTGTTTTCGTCCGGTCTAATGCACATAGAGCGAGAAGCATGGTGGCGACCGAGGAGGAGGGCGAATGCAGTGCATCGACTGACACAGTCAGGCTGGACCTGCATATCGGAATATTCAGTCGTTGTGGTGGCATCCGCATAGCATTTTGAGATCCGGATAGTCGCCCGCCACCACCGTCACCACCGCCACCACCACCACCAACTGTGACCGCTATCCTAAACTGGCATGAGAAGCCAAGTACTGCCTGTGCGTCCCGCCCACTTTTTTAAAAAGAATTTGCACCAATGAAGTTGTGCAGTTTTTAAGTATTCTGTCTAGCGTCAACTATATCGTCAGTTATATCGTTATCGCAAATTTTCTCATTTGTATCGTGATAAATATTTTTGGCCATATCACCCTGCCCTACTCAGTACTACCTAAAACTGGATCATTTTTGTAGACTCCGAGTTAGTTGGCTCACTTTGTCCACCTCTGTTGACGTTGTCATTTCAGACTTTCTTCTGTAGTCTAATTTCCCGTTTAGCAGTACTTAGTTCCCCTCCGGAGGTCGCTAAAGCCTGTCTTGTGCTACCATGACTAGTTGCCTTAGTCGTTATCCCCAATTTAGTCCTATTACCGTCCAACCACCCTATCCCTTCTCAATTCCCTCATCCAGTTCCCTGCACATTTCTTTGAGTTAAATAAAATAACAAATGAAACTCCAGAAATACACTGCTTACTTAACACAACATTAAATCCTTTACACAAGCAAAAAGCAACTTAAATCTGTAATCCTGGTCTGTTGTATCCTGTCTGAGCTTGGTCTTTGATACTCTGTGACACTCCTTTGTTTGGGCTCTGACTGAAAGCGTGTAGAAATCAAAGACCAGCAGCGACTACTATTACAACTCTGTTAATGATGATTTATAAGGGTGTGGATGACAGAATCTCTTCATGCAGGCTCTCCTCATAAGCACTTATTTAAAGTGGCATTTGTATTCCTGGTGCCTGTGCAGTCAGCATGCTTACAGTGCAGTCAGTCCACATGATCACACATTTTTGCCTGCATGCACAAGGGTTACACAGACCTTTTGTGGGCTTCAGTGGATGACAAAATTTATGTGACGCAAAATGCAGGGTTGGCCTCAACACAGGCCTTATACTTTCTGCATTTGCAAGTATGGGTCCAAGTGAATGTGCATGTGTGGAATATGTAAACACTGATCTACTCTGCATGTATGGAATGCATCTTTCGAACAAACGAGAAAGTCATATAATGGCAGCCATGCTAGGTCTGAGTCTGAACTGACACACAGCAATTATTTGGGCTAACTGCATTCAGCTCGTCACTGTCGGTATGCTATTACATAATGCTGAGTAGGTATATTGCTAACATTCACTGTCTTACTTTAGAGCAATAATAAGCTAACGTTTACCATTTCACGCTGGACACCAAACGCAGCTGAAATTACAAATAATACTGAAGTATTAGCAAAGTCAGTACAGAAACGTTAGAACATTTCATCCTGAAAGGGAACGTAAACGTCTGAACTGACTGTTATGGCAGTCTGCCTAAAAGTTTTTGAGAAATTTTACTCAGGATGACAAATGTCCACTACAATATAGCATCTGAGAATGAATGCCTCTCCCAAATGTCATGGTAATGCAATCAATACTGAGTTATTTCAGACTGGATCGGTGGTGGGCTGACCAACTAATGTACCATTGTCAGAGCTAAGGCCCAAACACCTTTCTCATATATTAGCCTGTTTCTCTAGTTAAAGTACATGCAGTCCCTGCCCACGATTGGACAATTTCCACTTGTCTATTACTATAAACTTGAAAGCACACTTACGTCATCAGACACTACTGATTTAAGTTGTATGTGAACCTTTTGTCAAGACACAAAGTAGAACCTTGACTGTCATGCAACCATGGTGACCAGATGCATTCACTAAAACAAGAGACCCATACAGATAGGCTGATGCAGCATGTGAGAATGCATAACTAAGAGGGTGTCTCACCTGTTTGAGGGCCTCCTGTTTGCTTTTGCTGAGCTCTTCATATTTAAGTTTCCATTGACTGAGTTCGGCCTCCAGCCTCTCAATGCTCTTACTCAGAGCAAGCTTGTCTCTAGAAAAGACACAACACGTATTAGTGATTTTCAACACTCAGACTTACTGCTTTGATGCCTGGGTGGGTTATGTGATTCAGAAAAATTGAATTTTCACATTTTACATTTCCACATTAACTCTTTTAACCCCCAAAACCTGGCAACAGGGTGGGAAGGCATATTGTATTGTCCTGTAAAATACCAATATTACACCATTTATCAGAGCCAGAAATTGCGAAAACAGATGATTGGATTTTCAACTTTCTGATGGTCCTCAAAATACTCATCTGTAAAAAAAATAAAAATAAAATTTCTGTGCTACTTGGTGAACCATAAGGCAACAAACTGTGACATGACAAAAATTCAGGAACTTTTTGGCTGAAGTGGGGTGAGCTGCAGATTGTGTTTACACATAGCACATATGAGACGAGTGTGGAAACAAATAAAAAATGTAAGTAATAAATTGCATGTAGCACGTACAGTCACCAGTTTTCAGTACTGGTGACACTAGTGGGCACTTATAAAAATAATCTACATGTTAATTCCAGGTTTAACTTTTTTTTTTTTTTGTAAAATAAATATTTAGAAATTCACGTCTGCCTTTTCTTTTCTACAATTAAAAACATTATCACTTTATTTTACAAAAAAAAAAATAGACATTGAGTTCTCTTTATGTCTAGCAATGGTTGTGCTGTTCACTAGAGGTACATGACTTTATATTGCAGTGAAAAATGAGCCCACAGTAAAGAAAAATAAGTTTATGGCAAAAATTTCCCAGAACCTGTTTGTACTTTAGAGGGTAAGAACTTTGAACTTCAAAAGAAAAGAAAGTCACTGGTCACCACAGAGTCTTCCTTTATGATTGTACTACATCACACTGCATAATGACAGCAATTGAAAAACACATTTTAACTCAAATGTCTCATTTTCACACTAAGAATATAAAAAAGTTAAGGATGTGTTTCGGGCCTTTGGTGCTGTGAAAGGTAAAAAAGTTGCCACCATGTAGGAGGTAAAGAAGTGCAAAAAATTATGTGCAAATTTGGTGGAGTGTTAGTAATATGTTCTTCAAAGTAAAACTACTTATCACGCAGATTTACATAATTTTTCATGCTATTAGATGTTGAGTCATTTTTACCAATGCCTGGGACGGAAAACAGCAGTTTAACATTATAGCAGGTAGCGGTGAAGCTAATTTCAACTATTAACACACTGTTGGGTGGTTTAAATTGTCAGAATATATTGCATTTTACATGACCTATAACAGGTTTTATTAGTAAATTACAGATTTGCAGAATAACCAGTAACTTTATGTTAGACTGTTTTACCAAAAGAAGCAAGTACTGTTTTCCCATAAAATGTGGCAGAATAAAAAGTAAACAGAATCCTCTAAAAGAAGTTACAAGTTCCTTCAGACTGTACTACAGACAGTTTGGGATTTTGTGACTCTTACTCTCTTTCTTTCAGCAGGACTTTCTGGGACTCATCCAGGCGAAGCTGCAGGGCATTGAGTTTGCTGGAGTCTTCTTCCACCGTGCTCATGTCTTCCCACAGTTGTCTGCTTCGTTCCTGCCGGCTCATAGCAGTGGATGAGCGAGAGCCAGCTGGGTTAACACCACCACTACCACTGCGACTGTCCCAGCTCTCTTGAGTGTCTGTGCCTGGGGTCCTGGAACGCAGGACGGATTCTAGCAGCTCCAGGTCCTGACAGAGCAGAAGAAAAAGACAAGGAAGAGAAAATGAGACTGCTTTGCTCATCAAAAGGAAATTCTGTACACTGGAATATTACTGAAGACCAGATATGCTGATGACGCAACAACAACAAAACAAGGACAAGACGAGAATCTTTTAATCATTTGATTTAACAGTTTCTGCTTTGAAATATAGGCACATCTTGGCACCTAAAGTGGTGATAGTTACATAAATATTGAACAATGAGCAAATAAAAGAGGAGAGACAATTCAAATAGGAAAATAAGCAAGACCTTAATGTACGATGCCTTGGAAAAGCTAATATATGGAATGGTTCAAATCCCGTGAAATTCATTGTCTCACTGCAATAAAGATGGTTATGTATGGGTCATTACTCTGATGTCAAAGCAATCAAAGTAAGTTTTGCATATCCACATATCCAACAATGTCTAATGTTTTGAAAGTTTGTGTGACTTTATTTAATCTGTTTGTTCCAAACTCCTGCCAAAGATTTCCAGCAGTTTTTGACACAAAGAGACATGTACAGTCAATGTGGATAAACAATGAGGGTCTGTGGGTGAAGTTTTCACTCTCAGCTGTATTTATCAGCAGTTTCCAACTGCATGTCCCCGCTTGAGAAACATTTATCCTCCATTCCATGACTCTCGACAAACATTAGCAGGGTTTCAGGCTTCCTTTCATTGTCAGTCCCAACACAAACTGCCCACACCTCTTGTATGTATTCATGCAAAGCAAAGCTGCCCTTTTTGTGAAGGGGGTTGTCAGGGTTCCAGGACTCTTTCGCAATATTTTGCTCTTCTGTCACTATTTTCCACTCCACCCTGTGTTCCACCCTAGCAAAGATGCAAATCATACTGTTTCATTCAACCGATTATCTGAGTTGCTGCCAACGTGCTCTCACAGCAGAACTTGGAGTAGTTTCTCATAACCAAACATTTTCATTTCATCTCATCTCATTTTATTTAATGGCTTTAACAGAAATTAAACTGGATATGTAGAGCTTTTCCTCCTCCCAACATAGTAAATCTGTCTGCTTTGGCACTAAAACAGTAAAACTTTGAATGTTTCTCCACCCTTTATCTTTCACAGCATCTGCCAGAAGTAAAATATTAGTGCTCTGTCTCCCACAGGCGTCATAACTCTGCATATTTCTCAAAGATATTCATCATGCTGCTTTTGAGTCTCTATAAAAAGTAATGCCATTCTAGTGAGAATGTCATGAGTTTTACAGGTAATTGTTCACAGAGTAATGTACTGAAAAGTTATGGGAATAACAAAGTCCTAAGCATTCAGTGTTTGGTAGCACCGTGTGTGTGTGTGTGTGTCTGCTGGTTGCATAAATGAAAAGGTAGGGAAATTGCCAAAATCTGTGGGATACATTTTCTGGAGAAAATTAATGTGAAAATTACATGGCAATCCTTCTTATAGTTTGTAAGATATTTCAGTCTGGATTTAAGTGCTGGATGAACCACCATACAGCAAAAATTTATATCACTTCAGAAAAAAACCTCCCACAATCTTTTTTTTTTTTTCTACATTTTTTCATTTAATCACTGCTGTTTTGTTGAGCTTACATACTTAGCTCAACAGCAGAAACCCCTTTCTGACATGCCTAATTACTTTCTAGAAGCAAGCAAAATGTGTCAAACCAGTTCAGCATCAGTTCTTAAGCAGCACCTTAAACGAAGCAGATGAACTGTGGCTGGCCTGGTTTACATCTGAGAACCAAAAGTGAAAAACTGGTGATGTTTCTATCCAAAATTTGACGGACACAAATCTGAATATGAACACTAAGTTTGGTAGTAGCATGATGATCGAACATTTAATAAAGAAAATACATATACAACACTATTGATAAATTTTAATTTAATATTTTGCTATAAATAGACAAAAGATTCTGAACTATTTCATATTTGTGATTCAAAGTCCAATAAATCACTTGACAATGACAATTTAACAACACACTTTTTGTTTTCCTCAAAGGCTGCTGATTTCTGGAAGATAATGCTTCCTTCAATAAATATGACGTCTGACGTACTGACACACAAATCTCAGACCAATTGAAATATGTTAGAAGCCAACCTGACACAATCAGACTTGGTTGGGTTTTTGTTTCTCAGGACTAAGAGGACCTGCGGCAACCTGTACTGTGGGGAGCACAACATCAGTAAAATACCTAGGACAAAGATAAATGAAAACCAGAGAGAGGCAACATCAGCTGTCCACAAACACCAGACCAAAACCGCTCACAGCATTGGCTTGTTAACAGGTGGACAGAGAAAGGTCGAAGAAGATATTCACAGTATGACACTGATGGACATGATCAGGCTGTTGGCCTAAAGCATGCTGGGCATCAATAATAAAATGAATGAAAACATTTAGCCATCCAAATTTTTGTGATTATTAGGTATCTTTAACACTACGGTATCATAGTAATACTAAACTACATCCTTTACCATTTGCAATATATAAAGTCGAGATGTGCCAAATGGAAAACAGAGATGTTATGCCGTCATTACAGGCAATTCCCAACAGAGGGACCTGGTGTGCAACAGATGTCTGTAAAATGAACCACACTGTTCCACATGTGGAAGTACTCAGTGCCTGTTAGAAGCAGAACAATGGAGGGAGACAGGAAACGGCACTGTGTTGTGTGTGAGAAACAGCTAGCCACCGTTCCGAGACCACCTCTGCTGCCACCACTGACAGAAACATAATCATGGCTGACTTGGAACTCTACAGGCCAAATGTATCTCTGTGTATGTTATCATGAAACACTGCTTAATCAAGATGAGTGTCTGATAGGAAACATGAGGGATCTTTCGCCACACCTATTTTAACACAGATGCCTTCATCAGGAGAATACAGCACATGTTCATTATGCATCTGTGTATACATAGGTCTATTTGCATGTATGTGTGCAGTGAAACAGATTACAATTGCTGAAACACAGAGGAACCCCCCCACTGCTAAAAAAACACATGCTGGAAGTCCAGTAAGATCCAGAGTAAGTGATGAACACAGGATGTCAAAGCAGTGCTATCAAATGTGACAAGAGGGCCAGTGTTAGTATGACTATAGCGACTGCTGACAGCTGGTAGTGGGACCACTACTACTCATGTCTGACACTATAGAGCCGAACATCTTTAAAGAAGTGAGCCTCCACTGGATTTACTACTACAGGTTGTATCCCATTTATGGCAATAGATGTTAAAAATGGGACCTGTATTACAAAACAGAACAAAGGAAAAGAGTTACATTGTCAGCTCCTGGATAAATCCTGACACATAGAGGGAGAACTAAGCAGGGCAAGGTCCCAGATTTCATTAAGACTGATATGAATAAAAGAGAAATAATGAATCTTGATTACAACGTATATACTCTGACTGCACATAAAATATTACAAATTTATGTATTTCCATATCTAATTATTATTGCACTTGCTGGTATTACACTCATTCATGGAAACAATACCAGCCGAGTGAACTGGTGCAGAAAGAAAGAGAGAGACAGAAGGACAGCTAGAGAAAGAGAAATCAGGTGTTCGTACAAAATTAAATGCACTCAAACCTACGCTGCAACAAAATTATTTAATTGTAGCCTGTCGTGACAATACATTTTTCAATGGTCAAGTCAAATTCAAGCTTAATGAACAAAAACCGAAGGTCTTTAGAAACTTAGAAAAAGTTATTTTTCTTTACTGCAGTCGGTGTTGATAGCAGACCAACAGGATACCTGGAGACACCTGGACATGGTGTTTCTCTACTATAAAGTCCTGCCCTTCCTTTGTCTGAGAAGAGCTCTCCTCTCCTTGGCATTTTTTTTTTTTTAAACTTAGTGAAATCAACATATCTACCACCAGAACTTAACTGATCCACACACACATGCATCCTCACTACTAATTACTCTGATTGCAACATGCCATGACATTTGTCATTTGTTTTGCTAAATTTATGTTGCTTTGGTAAGATGAATTTGTTATTTATCGATCTTCACCCCACGCCTCACTCTTTTGTCATGCTGCCTGAGTCAGGTCAGGACACAAAAGACAACCATGAAGCAGTAGGTTTAGGGCATGTAGAAGGTATGTGCAGCAAACCAGAGTGCTAAAGGGCTGGCAAAAGGTGACAATAAATCAGACAGTGTGATGAATATATATATGTTTACTGAAACTACCAAGTTGCATAGAATATTACTTAAATTATTGCAGTGTTGTAGTTATAGTAGTTATAGGCATGTTAGCATTAGCAAAAGCATATGTCAAAGTCAGCCCTTAACTCTGAAAAAAGATGCCAGAAATAGCCACTGCTCAGCCAAACTTCCTTGGGTACCCAGCAACAATTGCCAGGTTGGAAGCAGATTGGGGCAACACGTTCTCACTCCTCACTCATCACACATGGATACTTGGCCAGGCTCCCTCTGCGTCACATATTCACTCTCTCACTCATATTCACTCTCCATAACAGTTGGTCCCATGTCTTTAGCCCCTTTCATTCACAAAAGGAACCATGTAGAATGTTCATATTGACATATGTTATTCTCCAGACAAAGACCTTTGTATTTGGTTTGGTGAAAGCCAAAGTTTTTATATTTATCATTTCACTAACACAGATCTTTAAAGGCTCCGTTTGACAGAGGACATGCAAGACCCAGTAAACAGAGTTAAGCTTTTTGTTTTTTCCCTTGAATTTTTTGGTATCTTCCATAATGAGTAACCTATAGAGAGCGCTTGACCTTAGCTGTCATCTAATAACTCATATGTTATACCCACCAACTGGAGGTGCTGTCAAACATGGATTAAATATATAATCACACATTTAACAATTAGATTATTAAGATCTGAATCCCCAATTGCGTTCAGTGTCTCTTTAAACCCCCCAGTGTGTTGCTAATTCAATTCTCTGAATAATTCAGTAAGTCTATTGAAATGCATGCTATAAATGGCTACATCATGTTTTAATGTGCGGCAAACAGCCTTTACATAGAACATGAAACAACGCTTTTTCTGAAAAGGAAGGAGGCAGTTCCACACAGGGTTGATGAGATGCCATTATCTGATGTCTCCCATATGAAATATCAAGCTACAACAGACAAGTCTGATGTCTGATATAGCCATTGACAAAACCCAGGGTAAAAGGTCAGGACATTTGCATCATCCTATGACAATAAATTTGTTGTAATTAAAACTCTTAAACTACAGAACCTTCTGGACACATTAAAGTCACATTTGATTTTTCAGAAAATCTGCCATTGTTATTATAAACCTTGGTGGGCTAAAAACTACTGCTGCAGCATGTACAGGGACTGCTTAAAATAGCGTGGCTGGGGCATGAATAAAATGAGCAGCACGTTTCATAAATCAGCCCTGCAGCTGAAAGTTTGTAAACTAGGAAGAAGCCCCGCTTGAAATCTCTCTCTCGCTCTCTCTCTCTCTCTCGCTCTGTACTGTCCCCTCAAAATAACCCAATACACAGCCATTAATGTCTAAACCGCTGGCAACAAAAGTGAGTATACCCTAAATGAAAATGTCCAAATTGGGCCCAATTAGCCATTTTCCCTCCTCAGTGTCATGTGACTCTTTAGTGTTACAAGATCTCAGGGCTGAATGGGGAGCAGGTCTGTTAAATTTGGTGTTATCGCTCTCACTCTCTCTCATACTGGTCCCTGGAAGTTTAACATGGCACCTCATGGCAAAGAACTCTGAGGATTAAAAAAAAAAAAGAATTGTTGCTCTATATAAGATGGCCTAGGCTATAAGAAGATTGCCAACACCCTGTCAGACCCCTCTCTGATGGATCAAGTCCACTGTCACGGTGGAACTCCTCTGGAGACTTAAATCTCCATAACGGAAGATTATTTCTCTGGTGATAGAAGTACCAAGGAGTCCGCATCCCTCTGTCCAGAATGTCATCTGGTGGCTGACCTTGGGTGTCTACGATGTAACTAATGACATCGTAGTCTATGTGTGCCGGGTAAAGCATGCACCCCATGGCCAACTCTGCCGCTATGAGCCCAAGAGACCACATGTCAAAGGTCTCATTGAACGGGGCAGCGAGCATCATCTCTGGTGCCATGTACGAGGTGGTTCCTCTATGCTGACCCACTTGGATCTCTGACAGCAGACCTGCCTGACCAAAGTCAGTAATTTTGACCCTGACTGGCTACTGAGTTCTCAGGTTTAAGGTCCAAGTGTACAGCACTGACAGAGTGCAGGTGAGACAGAGCTGTAGCCAGCTGGTGTAACACTGGCCTAATCTCTGCGACAGGAAGACCTGGGTTTCCTCTCTCCTCCACGTATGTTTTCATTTTTGTTCATTTTATTTTGTCTTTACTTTATTTCAGTGTTGTTTATTTAATTTCATGTAATTGTTTCTTTTATTTCAGTGTTGTTTATTTTATTTCATTTTGTTTATTTGACTTCATTTTGTTGTTTATCTTATTTCATTTTTGCTTATTTTACTTTATTTTGTGGCTTATTTAATGTTAGTGCTGTTTATTTCATTTCATTTTGTTGTTTGCTTGATTTCAGTGTTTTTTGTTTTATTTCATGTCCTTGTTTATTTCATTTTTGTTTATTATTGTTTTCTATTCTATTGCATTTTATTCTATTCTTTTTTATTGTTCATTTAATTTCATTCAGTTGTTTAGCTTATTTCATTGTTATTTTTTTATTTCATTTTTTAAAATGTTGTTTTGTAATTTACTTGATTTCAGTGTTGTTTATGTTATTTCACTTCATTTACTTTATTTTTGTTTATTATACTTCATTGTTTACTTTATTTCAGTGTTTTTTATGTCATTTGATTTTGTTTACTTTATTTCATTTGGTTGTTCAGTTCATTTCATTTTTGTTTATTTTTGATTTTGTTGTTTACTTTGTTTCAGTGTTGCTTATTTTATTTCATTTTTTTAATTTTGTATTCTATTCTTTTCTACTATATTGTATCACATTCTTTTCTTTTCTATTCTATTATTTTCTATTCTATTATAAATATTAGCTGTTTATTCTATTCTATTGCATTGCATTATCTTCTTTTGTATTCTATTCTATTATAATATATTCTAATATATTATATTAGAATTATTAGTTGTTTTTTCGATTCTATTGTTTTGCATTCTATTCTATTCTATTCTATTCTATTCTATTCTATTCTATTCTATTCTATTCTATTCTATTCTAATATGATATGATATGCATGGTCTTCACAAGTGTATTTAAACTTTTGCTCACAACTACATGCTATGCCACCAGCAAGTTCTGGGTCTACCCCAGGGACTTCTTCCAGTTGATTCTGCCCAGAAAATTTCCAATGGAACACTATTAGGAGGTATCCTGATCAGATCCCTCAACCGTCTTAACTGGCTCCTTTAAACGCGAAAGAGCAGCAATTCTACTCTGAGCTCCCTCTGGTTGTCCGAAGTCCTCACCTAATTTTTAAGGCTGAGCCCAGCCACCTAATTGAGGATATCTATTTTTGGCTGCTTGTATTGGCAATGTCATTGTTTCGGTCACTTCCCAGAGTCCATAACCACAGGCAAGGGTGAGAACAAACATTGATTGCTCAAGCTTTTGAATGCAGAGTTTGGCCTTGTGGCTCAACCCCCCTTCACCACAGCGGCCCGGTGCAAAGCCCATACCACTGCTGACATTGCACCAATCTCACACTCAAATTTCCAGTCACTCGTTCACAAGCTCCTTAGATACTTCACTAACTCCGAACTTCTGAGATCCTTCACTTGGAGCAGCACCTCACCAAGAGGAAGCAGTCCATTAGAAACATCTGTGACGTTGGGCTACAAACAAATGCAAACATTGTAGTACTGTACATAGTGACAATGGCCCTGTCCATGTGCATCACATGGCATGCTGAAGACAAGGGTCATGTTGAGTACAATTTCAGTGATTTGAGTTCCACATGTTTTAGCTTCACTTTGGCTCTATTTTTTCCATCCAAAATGGCCTCCACGGAGCACTTTAGAGTGACTGAGAGTATGACACTTGACTTGCGATAGTAATTAATGCTAAAATTCCACACAAGTTTGAATTCCTAATGAGTGTCTTGTGTGCCAGTATGGGCAAGCAGAGGCAGAGGGAGGCATGGTCAGGTGTTAGCTATAGATTTAGTATAGTCTGCACAGAACAGGTTGATAGAGAAGAAGTACTGCAGTATCTGCAAGATCACTGAGCCCCTGGGGATAAACACGCATGATGAGTGTGTGCATGCCTGGGTAGTGGGTACCCAGAACTGATGGTGTTTCCCTAAATAGGACACCTCCTATGACACACACACACTTCTTGCAGCAAACTAACGGGGCTGTATTTTATAATCTTGGTGGGGAGATAGTGGCCAGTGTGACCTACATACACTGAGGCTCAGGTCATAGCAGCAGAGGACCTCAGGCAGCACATCAATATCAGGGAGACAACCACACTTTTCATGTCTACATGTCTCGATCTATCATGAGGCTGTTCTCATTGTGCACAATGCAATCCCGATTACAATTGCAAAAGTGAGTACTTTTGCTCAACTGTTCACTAATGTGGCGCACAACACCATGCAAATAAAAATGACCATATTACACATGCAAATAACAGGGCAACTAAAAGGGCAGTTAGATCTGATATTCATGGAATCCACAGCACCAACTTTTTTGTTATTAATTAATCTTTCAATGAAGACAACCTTGTTAGCTCTCTGATGTTTAGCATGTTCACCACCGTGGTTTAGCATGGTGGCTAGCATTTACTTAAGAACCCTAAATACATGCTGAAGAGAACTTTCACGTACGTACCAAATTTATTTGAAATTCCATAGTTGTTAAGAGTAGCCCTGCGATAGACTGGCGACCTGTCCAGGGTGTCTCCTGCCTTCACCCTAAGTCGGCTGGGATAGACTCCAGCCCCCCCACGACTCTAGTGAGGATTAAGCGGTGTATAGATAATGGATGGATGGATGGATAGTTGTTAAGACATTTCACTTAAAATCCCAAATATCAACCCAATTTTGGCACTAGAGGAAAAGTCAAGAGCTCTCCAAAGTATGAAGATTTGTTGGTAATCCATGATAAAAGCACGGACCATCCTCCAAAAGACAGATGTTACTTTTAGCACAATTTATAGTAAAACCAATTTATTTTCCATCATCTAATCAAATTTGTAAGCATCTTCTTTTCCTGTGGGCTACATGGTGGCTCAGTGGTTAGCACGGTCGCCTCACAGCTAGAAGATCCCTGGTGTGTCCTGGCCTAGGCCTGGGATCTTGCATTTGCCTGAATTTGCATGTTCATCTTGGGTAAACTGATTAAATCTGTGCCTGCGAGGGTTCCCAGTGGCTGCTCTGGCGTCCTCACACAGTCTAAAAACATGTTGAGGTTAATTGTTGATTCTAAATTGTCCATAGGTGTGAATGTGAGTGTGCTTGGTTGTCTGTCTCTAAGTGTAGCCCTGCAATGGACTGGCAACCTGCTCAGGGTATATATATATAGAGAGAGAGATTATGGACAGATGGATCTATGGATGTTTTGTCATCTGATCTGTGTAACCAACATTACATCTCAAAGAATTCAGCTGATGAAATGAAAAAAGTTATGGAATTATTTAAATGCACCTTTTGTTGACCCATCTTTTGTCCGTCCAAGTCCACGTCCCTCACTGGTTCTGGTTCTGGTTCTGGTTCTGGAGATCCTGGTGGTCCCTCCCCCACCATATCCAACTTGCCACCTGTGTGGACCTGAGAGGAGGAGGAGGAAGCAGGAGAGGAGGGAGGGATGGAGGGAGAGGAGGAGGAGGAAGCACCCCGAGGGTGTGCAGGGGAGGAAGAAGAAGAAGTGGCGGATGGAGGAAGAGCCGTGTGGTCACTGTGGAGACGTAGTGTCTCTTGCCGAAGCATCTCGTTCTCTGAGGCAAGTTCCTGCCGCTCTCGCCGAACACTGGTTAGCTCCTTGGTGAGTGTGTCCAGTCGCTGCCTCAGCTGACGGACCTCATCACGAGCTCGGTTACGCTCAGCACGGACCTGCGAAACAAACAATACTGACTGATACAAGACAACTTATCAGCCATAAGCCGAGTGAAGATGTAAATGTTCAAGTCATGACTCAACCCAGTTTCATGGCAATTAGTGAATCAGTCACGAAACTTAATCTATTGCCCAACTTTTTGTGTCCCCCACCACAAATTTCAAACCGATACATTTCAAATGGAATTATCTTTCATGTATGGGCCATGTTTTTTTCCCTATCAGACAGCACACATGCTGTGATGTTTTTGTCGTTCTTTTCTTCCGACAGTCAGGCATTAACCAGTTTTATTGTTATGGCCCGGCCACACTAATAACTATAGAGATCTCTATAAAGATGTGTGTGCTCATACTGATGAACGTTAACATTCTGTAAACACCGGCGCTGAGCAGCTACCATGTGTTCCAGCTGCGTACAAGCTCCGTAGCCATTCAAATAGAAAAGGCAGAAAATATCCAGGCAGAGAGAAGCTGTTCTGAGATCGCTCTGAGATCACGCTTACATCTTTATAGTGATCTCTATAGTTATTAGTGTGGCCGGGCCATAACAGTAAAATTGGTTAATGCCTGACTGTCGGAAGAAAAGAACAACAAAAACATCACAGTATATGCACTGTCTAATTGGAAAAAAAACGTGGCCCAGACATGAAAGATAAGTACAATTGAAATGCATTGGTTTGAAATTCATGGTGGGGGACACAAAAACAGTCCAATAAACCAAACTAAGTCATTCAGAATATCAATATAAACTCTGCCACTGCTAGATGTTTTCAGGAATTTTATGCACATTTTGTGGACATTTTGAGAAAGAGAATTGAGTCAGTGTTAGAGTAATTCTTTGTTTCCCAGCATGTTTTCTGGATTCAGTGAACAGCTGCTGCCCACCTTGCTCCACTTCTCTCTCCAGTTAGCTGTGCAGTCTGACCACCACCTCATGGTCTTCTCCATCTGAGCTGCTCTGGCCCGAGCCTCCTCCAGCTCTCTGAGCCTCAGCTCCTCCCTGCTCTCCCAATCGCCTCCAGCTCCCTCACTCATGGCCCCCAGAGAGCCCAGCCCGAGGCCTCCCAGCCCGGGCGACAGCAGCAGCGGGGGGCTGGAGCTGGGTGTTCCTCCGGTTGGGCTGGGAGTGTGGGTAAGGCTGTCTGGGGAACGGATCCCCCGATCAGATCCCAGACCCAGGCTGCATAGCAGGCCACCTCCAGCTGACTTAGCGCCTTCGGACAGGTGGGGGCTGGGAGTATGATTCATGGTCGAGACGATTGTGTAAACAAGAACAGAGAATGAAGGGGTGGAGGGTTGTGAGCAGACTCAAGAGAGCATCGTCCTCTTCAGTCACTGATCAGCCTGGAAACAGAAAGACAGCAACAAGATAAAGTATAAAGGAAACAACAAATGCATGTACATCTATTATTGGAATGTGTCTTGAAAATCAGACCTGTCTGAGAAGAAAACTATTTAAGATTGATCAGCAAAAAATAAAGAAAATAGCTTTAAAATACAGAAACAGTCCAGAGAAATTACTGGATGGATAGTTGGTACTGGCTAAATTTGAACATGACTGGCAAGAATCCTATGTTTGGATACTAGTGTCTGTTAAATTCACATGAAACTGTTTATTTCCATAAGCATGCTCAGAACACCAGTCTGTAAGGAGCACAGATTAATGACTGAGGACAAGACACCTGTGGGAAAACGATGACACTGTTTCTCCGTTAGTATATATACGTGTAAAAGAGCAATCGAATTAATTAGAAGCTTAGTAATTAATCTTGATTAATTGCATTTTTGTCAAATAGCATTATTTGACACAATAAGCAAAGTTTTTCAATTTAAACAAATTTGAGTTGAATAAAGTTGAATAAAAAAGTAGACATATATGTGAACTTAAACAACAAAAATGTTTATTTTTCAATATGTATCTGCATTTTTTTGTCTGTCTACTACAATCACAGATTAGTGCAAACTCAAAGTGTAATTCTAGCGATTATATTCCAACATTTTGAGACTTTTTGTCTTGAAACTCTCTGTTGCATGATTTGCACATAACCATGCTGTTATCCAGCTGCAGTCTGGAAGTTGAAAAAAAAGAAGAAAAAAGAACTTTCAGTCCAACAAGCCAAGCAATGCACTCTCCTCTTCTATTACTGTTCACCAACCTGGTGAAATAAAGGTCAAATAAAATAAATAAAATAAAAAGTAAACACGGATGTAACGGTGGAGCGTATCTGCCACTGTAGCTAGCTTTACAAAATGTGACATGCAGTCACATACTGACTTTCTATTCTACCTAATAAATCACATTTTTTTATTTGTAGTAGTTTATCAGCAGTTTAAAGTTGCTATATTACCTGTGGATTAGATGTGTAATCTGAAAATGTTCCCCCATAAAGCCAAACCCACAGAGAATTATCACTAATTCTGCAGTTCCTCTCAGCTCTACTTTGCAATTTTATGTCTCATTGTTTAGGTTTTGTGCCCATGCCTTTACTGTTTTGTTGAACCTCAGCACTCTGTCAACCTTGTCCCCAAGAAGATCCCCACAGCTGTCTCCAATACCTGCAATCAGGCAGGCTGAGCAGGGCTGGAGTGACAGAGGGTGAGCGAGGAGGAGAGAGAGAGGCAGAGAGGAGGGAGAAGAGAGGGAGACAGGCAAGGGCTGGTGCTGAGGCTGGGCGGTCATGACAGCTCTGCTGGCAGCGTCTCACAATCATTGTTAGTACACGAGTCAACACAACTAATTGTTTTTACATTAAATATGCATCATAATGCTCTGTATAACGAGTGCAAAGCCAGATCTGAATGCCATTCAATGAAAAAAAAAAAAAAAAAATCAGTTACTGTTTCATCATCGGAGAAATTTTCCAAAATTCAGAGTGAATTTGGCAGATAGTTTTAAAAAGCATGATAAATGTGCTGGATAAATGATAAGTAAAATCATTACACACCTATTTTTCTCTATTTTCCATCCTAAAACTGTTTGGAAAGATGCAAGGCTCAAGTTGAAACAGAGCTGTCACAAGTGGAATATTACGCTACAAAAAACTGGTAGTCCAGCTGAATAACAGAGCCCTACACGAGTCTGATCGTCCAAGAGGACTGAAAACTCGCTGTGAGCAAAATGGCATTTTTCCTGGTAATCACACAAGTGAGGACATGGCAGGGGAGCAAGACAGGCATAGGCTGTTTGGGGCCTAAATGAAAGCTGTCAAGTCTGTATAATAACAGACATCATAAAGGCTGCCACCCTGAACAAGAGACTAGACTGCAGTGCTTTGGCCTCAGACTGCATGTTGCAGTTAGTAAGTTATATGCATGCAAAATGTGCTAAGCTGGTTGTTTTTTTTTTGCACTACAATGTGTAGAAAAAATATTGCAATGTCCATTTTTTTTCCAATATAGTGCCCTTCCCCCCTTTCAGCCCTAATTTGCATTATTTATGACCAAGAATGTAATTGAAGTAATTAAGAAGCACCACTACAAAGCATCTGCAAGTTGATTTTTCAACTGTAAAGCATTTTGCTCAGCACCTTGCTCACTCTTTGAAAGCCTAAATTTGGTCTTAGCCATCACTGCTGATAGTGCACTATTCATTACATTATGTCCAAATACAAGTAAAACAGAGAAAAAACAAAAACAGTTACAGTTGCCAGCACACTGGCAAAAGTTAAATCAAATATTTCTATTTGAACCACAAAATAAACAAACAGCAAGGAGGCAGGAAAGCTGATCTGTGTTGTGTATCTTTATTCCACGAAAGCTCCATTTCAAACAAAATCCATTTGAAAAGCCAAAATCCCATAATGCGACTAATCCAACTATTTCAGTTCCAAATCTCATCCCCTAGTTTATCTCCCAGTCAAACACCAGGACAGCAACACGCATGCGCACACACACAAGAAAAATCCCAAATCTGGGTCAAAGCAGGCAGAAGAAAGAAAAATGAATTAAAAAAAAAAAAAAGAAAGAAAGAAAAGAAAAAAAGGAAAGTGAAAAACTGATTCATTTATCCTTTAACCCAATCAAGGCCAAGACAGCAGTGATATGGATGGCAAAGCAGAAATTACTCTAAAAGTAACATCAAAAGGACGCCTTAAGAAAACTTCCTCTTAAATCAGGAGAAAAACACATCATGTCAACATTGGTTTAAATCAAATGATGCTTCATGTGGAGAAACTGAAATAGAAAATGATACAAGTTGCCTTCCAAAGAGTAACAGTTTAAAAATCCTTGGCAGGAGCAGATTTGTTTGGCAGAAATTAAACCTTACGTTGTTTCTCTTTGTCAGTTTGTGTCTTTCAATGTCAGAATGAAACTGTGACTAGGAGTGGAGGTATACAAGTCAGATTTTCCCCAAACCACCATTAATCAGTTTCAGGAGATGACCTTCTCTACAAGATAAATTAGAACACAGACATCTCCAATCAAACACCCAACAAACGTGGTTGGGTTTAAAACCCAAGGACCTTTCATCAGTGTAACCGCTGCAACCACTGCACAAATATAATGGACACCAAGACATTTATGGATTTTACATTCAAAAATCACAACATTTTGTTTTCACCCATGGGCCTGAATGCCCCAGCAGAACAAAACGACAGCAGGAAAGGTTAGCAGAATACAAATGTGCTGTTTACATAAGGAATGTCAACCACCCTATGGCTAGACTATTTCGGGAGCCTTGTGGATTTATAAATTACAGGCTTCTTAACACCCATGTTAAAGTGAGGACCTAGATTTTAGTGCTTTTACTGCTGTCAAAATCATATGACTCACATATCAAAATAACATGACTTTATTTGTCCATGATGCTGTCTGAAATTGGGCCAGACTGGCAAGCCACGGTTTGTCTGGTCAGTGCCCAGAGCAACTAATTTGTACAACAAAGCAGCCAGTCCCCTGCTTCCTGTTTTCACTGATGCATGCTTGGCTATTGTGCACAAATGGTTATGGTCATTTGCTTTTACATGTGTTATTTCTGTAACTGTGCTGAAATGCCTGTCTGGATGGAGAGATTGTTTTTGTTACATTTACAACTGAAACATTAAGTGTGAATGTAGCCTCTGGCCACAACCCTTATGTTAATGGTCAAAAGAGCAGCTTCTGTTTTTTAACACCCATTGTCTCCAGCAATCATATTTATAGTTCCCCTGCAGAGCTTTTTCTCAAGTGGGGTTAACTTAGAAGATACCCATCACATGGTATCACAACATCTCAGCATAATTTCAATTTTTATCAAATCCCTGCAGCATTTGGTCTATTATGTCTGTTTAAGAGTTTAACTAAGGTCATCAGTATCAACCATGTAGAGCAAATCCAATGGGTGGCATTTGTTTTTAGGAAGTCAGAGTTCTAAAGTGAGAAATTCAGCTGCAGCCAAGGTCTTCTGTGGCTAAAGTACAAATGTCATGTTATAGTGAAAATGGCATAAGCACAGGAGTAATGCAAACTAACAACTATGAAGACGTAAAAAGAAGATAAAACCCGATCCCCAACCCTAAAGATCCGATAGCTTTGATAAGAGATTTGGGGAAAAATAATGTGTTTGGTGTGCACTGAAAAAAGACGGTAGTTATCAATGGTAAACATGGTGATTTCCTTCAGGAGGGAAGTCACGGACATGGTTTCTAAATGCTAAAGAGGCACTAAACTGAAATTCTATTTTAAATAACTAACCATATAATCAATTATGTCAATTATGTGCTGTAAGGGTTTATATAGCGCCAAAACAGTGTCTCACACACACACACACGCATGCACATGCACCTGACACACCTGATCTACAGTTAACTCCTCAGTCAAGGCAGTGGCAGATGAAGGGAGGAGAGCACAGGGAGAGTGTGCTTACACAGTTGTGTGTATAATTGACAGGAATGAGCACAGACAGATCCATTTACATCCACGTAGGAATGTGTATAACAGTGTCATTTACAGGTAGCCTGTAATAACTTGCACTGGAACACAATCTTTTCACCATCCTGCTACAAAAATTCACTAGCTGTGTGTGGTATGCTGTAGCAACAACCAACACTGAACTGAAGATGTGACAATCCTGATCTTCTTTTTGTCCGTCATATTTCAGTTCCAGGGCTGCCGGTGACTTAGTGGTTAGCACCGTTGCCTCGCAGCTGGAAGATCCCCGGTTTGCGTCCCGTCTACGAAGCCCGGGATATTTCTGCGTGGAGTTTGCATGGTCTCCCTCCCATGTCTCCCAGCGTGGTTCTTAACGAGTTCTCTGGCTTCCTCCCACAAGTCCAAAAACATACTGGTGATTCTAAATTGTCGGTAGGTGTAAATGTGAGTGTGCTTGGTTGTCTGTCTCTAAGTGTAGCCCTGTGATGGACTGG